ATAATTATAGAATTAATTAAAATTTTATAAATTTATATATTACGATTAAAGTTAAAGTGCAAATTTTAATTACATTTTTGAAAAAAAAAATAAAACAAAAATAAATCTAATTTTTCCAAATTCCTACCTTTCCATCTACCTCCCTTTCATTTCCCCCTCCATTAATAATGTTTTCCAAACAATATAAAGGAGAGACATCTCCTTCATTCTCCTTTCCTCCCTCTCAACTCCCTCAATCCAAACAGAGGCTTAGGGCCAATGTAGACAATTTAATCCTGCAATGTTTTCTATTGGCTTGTTCCAACCTGTTGCCTGGCGCTATGGCCAAAAAAACAGAAAAATGGGGCTCCCAAGCACATGTTGTTTCAATTAAAACGAACAATAAAGAAATACCGTCGCCCGATTTCGAACCAGAGACCTTCACAGCACATTTGGGAGACCGAACAAGTCATGGGATGGGATAAAAATTAGTCCCATCTTAGTGTAACCTGCGTTTGGTGGTGCCATGGGATTGGATAAAATGTATCCAACATTTTGACCTGTCCACACCTTACGAGATAAAAGCCATCCCACCCCAAGTTGTTGGTACCATTTCATACCGGTTCGTAAGATTGGTACATATTAATTTTTTTATTGATCTAAAACGATACATGATTTAATTTTATTTTGATCAAATTTTATCAATTTTGGCTAAATTTTAATGTATTAGTCGGTATTTTCCTATATCAGCCGATACACGAAAAATCACTGGTACAACAAAATTTAAATTTAAAAAAGATAAATTTCATTTTTGGTTCTCAACTTTAATGATTCATATAACTTTCATCTTTAAACTTTTTTTATATATTTTTTAATCTATTAGCTATGAAAAATGCATTTTTTTAATCATTTTATCAATTAATTTGTTAAGTTTATCTAAATATGTACATTTAATATTTTTTTTTAAAAAATTATGAATATTTTATAAACCATTAGCTATGAAAAATGTATCTTTTTAATCCTTTTATCAATTAATTTGTTAA